ATTTAAATATTAATAGTTGAAATGGCTTATTTTGGTTATTATTAAATAAATTGTATAACATATATATATACATATATATATATATATAGTAAGAACTATAAATTTGAATACATTATTTTGGTTGAAATACAATCCGCGGTTTAAGGTTTCTTAAATTAGGCGATATTAATAACCCAAATTCGACAGATCTCAACGGTGGATTGGCAGGTTTTTGTTGGCTTCGGTATCTGACCATATAATATACATACATACATACATACATACATACATATATATATATATATTATATGGAGTCTTGTTTGTTATTGCATTTAAATCTTTTACTTGAAAAAATTTATTACAATGACTTAATGAAATAACTTAAAGCACCTTAATTTAAGCACTTTTAACTCCAGCGATCCTAAGTACTCATGTTACAATTCTATTATGAATTAATATAAAAATCTTTCTACGTATTGGCAGGGTGAATTTGTGACCGTAAGGAAAGCTGCAATGAATTGTGGCAGATTTAAAAGTACACATACGTATATTAAATTCGTCACAGCTATTTCCAGCCTATTTCCAGTCAAGTCCTGCGGTGATCATGGGCTTTGTTAAAAAAAAAAAAAAAGAACAGATAAGGTGAAAACTCCACCGCCCAATCTGTCGTCATCATCTTAATCAAGGGCGCTAACGATGCCAGTGATTATTATCATATACACTTTTCCACACCCTATCTATTCAATTTTGGAAATCGGGGCACTAAATAATTCTTACAATCACTATATTGTATAATTGACGGGTGCACGGGAATTAGCTACCACAACCACAACCACTGCATAAGCTCACCAAGTCCATGAGGGTTGAGTATAATACATCCAAGGATAAAGGCCCTAAGAACTTACGGTAGTCTGATGCACCATCAGGTGCATCTGTAGTAAGTTTTCCCTCTTCTGCAAACCCATCCTCCATTACCAACCACCAGGAGATGCATCCTTGAACGTCTTCAGGGTCCACGTGTGCCACCAGGCTCACGGTCTCACCCTGTTCGAGCTCAAAGGACAAAGAAAGGAAATCACAGTTTGCTTTTATTCCTACCATAAGAGCTTCCTCGTGAAGCCACCGAATAACTTGGCTGGCAACCTGTCACCATAATACAAGAATGCACAATTAAGTGGCTACATGATGAGAATTTTCTTGGTAAAAGTACGCATGCTGCAACCTACTCCAAATTTGATATGATATCTTTCGAAAAACTTAAAGCAACAAAAAAAAAAGACATTTGCAGAGAGAGAACAGATTGTTCTATAACAAAAATGGTAGTACTCAACGTTGATAGTATGATGTTTACTAATGCAGTTTCATTTTCTAATCTCTTGTCTCGTACCGATTGTTAGCTTTCTCACACACACACTCTCTATCTGTCTCTCTCTCTCTCCTCCCCCATCCCCCCT